GTCAAAGATGATGGCAATATCGTCTGCATACTCCAAGTCAAGAAGTCGCTCACCAGGGAGTAGCTCCACACCTTCTAGGTCGTGTCCAGCGAACGCTGTTTCTATGACTTCATCAATAGCGAAGTTGAAGAGGAAAGGTGAAAGCGGGCATCCTTGTCTCACACCGCTGGTGATACTGAAGGGTGGCGAGAGTTTGCCATAAATACTCATCCTGGCCGAACTATGTGCGTACAGCGCTTTGATAATGTCTACATATTTATCAGGCACACCTTTCCTCAACAGACAGTTCCGAAGGGCACATCAATCGACTGAGTCGAAGGCACCCTTTATGTCAAGAAACACGACAACGGTGGGTCGCCAATAAACATGATGGTGCTCCAACACTTGACGCAATGTGAAGATGTGGTCGATGCAGCCCCGACCTCGACGAAATCCGGCTTGCTCTTCACGAATCTGGCTTTCACGAGTGCCAGTCAGTCTGTGGAGAATGACAGAGGCAAGCAATTTAGAGGCAATCGAAATCAGACTGATCCCTCTATGATTGCCACATTCTAAACGAGAGCCTCCCTTGAAAATTGGGACAATGACGGAGTGGTTCCAGCCTGTCGGGACTGTCTCCTGCTCCCAAAGTTTTACTACCAACTCGTGTAGATCATCTACTAGAGCAGGTCCACCGAACTTGAAGAGGGCTGGAGGAATTTTATCTGCTCCTGAGGCCTTATGCAATTTCAACAGCCTGCTCTCACGTTCGACTTCTGCGCGTGAGGGCGGATCCAAGGAGACGGCCCAAGGAGAAGGGCGCTCAAAGCCCAAAGAAAGCGATAACTCAGGTTGGTTAAATTGCCTCGCAAAGTGTTAAGCCCAACGCTCCAAGCGTTTTGATAGGCTATGGATCATCTGCCCACTCTTTTCGCGTATGGTCTCGCCAACATTAGGTCTCCTGCTGCCCGTTGCCCGTATCAGACGGTATAACTTACGATGATTACCAATGGCAGCGGCTGTTTCCATCTCAGAGGCACGATGAGACCACCAGGTTTCGCGGTCCTTCTTTAGGCTAGCACGTAGTATCGCCCTGAGATTTTTGCGGGCTTCATTGTATTCGCTTCCAGCCGGAATACGTCGGTGAGCATCCATAAGTTCCATAGACTGTGTAGAGACCTAATGTTCGGTTTTGCAATTTGTTTTGCCACATGAAGACATGCCTGTTAATAGCAACGCTTGACGAGTATGCGACCAGTGATCTTCAACGTGTTTAGTGGGCGCTTACTCAGCCTAGATGTCAGCGCATCTTGGTACACATTCAGAACACCTGGATTCGCCAGCTGGCTAGTGTTAATCCGTTCACATCGACGTCGCGGACGTCCACCGAAACGCACCAAGAGGTCGGCACAGACAAGTGCGTGGTCAGAGTCCACACTCGTGCTCCAAATCGAGCGACAGTTTTGGACACAGCCTCTCCAGCGGTAACTGATCGCGATATGATCGATTTGCGTCTATGACTGGCCCGAGGCTGGTGGGTGCCAAGTCACACTTCTGCGGGTGCTGTGTCGAAAGTTAGTGCTCGCGAGAAACAGGTGAGCATCTTCACACAGCTGGAGCAATCGTTCACCATTATCATTACGGGAGCCTACACCATGTTGGCCGCCCAGATGAAGCTCATCAGAGGACAATTTTCCGACTTGGGCGTTTAGATGGCCAGCCAGCACCAGGGTATCCGTGCTTCTTCTGTAACGAAGGAGCTCGTGAAGTTGCTGATAGAAATAATCTTTTACCGAATCAGTGCTACCGTTTGTAGGAGCGTAGGCCGCAATGACAAACAGGCACCGTTTGTCCCCGCGCGACTTCGAAGCACGGAACGAACCAGCTAAGCTAAAGGCGCACATCCTACGGCTTACTGGGATCCAATCAAGCAGGGCAGCTTCAGCCCGGGGACTCAAAACAATGCGGACGCCAGATTGACCGGCATTTGAAGCTGCATCATCGCCAGATAGGCGCAATGAGAATGTGCCGCCAGTGTCGGATGTGGGGGATCTCAGGGTAAGCACGGAGCTCGAAACTTCCAGGCGGGTTTCTGATAAACAGCAAATATCGATCGATAGGTTCTCTAGTGTGCGGGCAAGTGCTGCCTGTTGGCCAACCTGCAGCAAAGCGCGCACGTTGAGGCATGCCAGTCTTAGCGAGACACGAGGACTCCAAAGGAAAAGGATGAACTGACGTTGTCCGCTTGATTGAACATGGACTTGTCGACTGGATTGGAGCGAGGCCCTGCGATTGTGTGTGATTTGAAATTAGAAGACAAGCAACTATTGAAGTAAGCCGGGGGAGGGCCAAGAATTGGGGGATTGAAAATGGGGGGATATAAGTAAAGTTGGAGCGGGACAATAAGGATGCAGAAGCACAAGAAGGGGTATAAGAAGACGGGAAGGCCTGAAAAGTAGCATCCAAACCCCTATACACACTGCTCGATGCAGCAGATAAGGCGCCGTTTATTATCTTCTGCGACGGCCAGAGCATTAAGAAACTGTTGTAGGAAAGGTTCGAAAGGTTCGAACCTACTGTACGGTTGTGAAACCTGGCCGCTATGATCAGCGGACATAAGGAAGCTAGTTACGTTCGACCACCGGTTCATTCGCAGTTTGTCTCACAACTATCGGGAACACCGCGCGAGCAACCAGCGTGTTCGATGCCTTGTTTATGGCACAGTGAAAGGAAATGAACCGCTCAGCACCGCTATTTCAACCATCAGGCTCTGATCGCTCGGACACGTGTTACGAATGCAAGTCCACCGATTCACGCAACGTGCCTTGTTTGCTTGTCGGGGGTGTGGATGGTAGAAGAGGAGAGGTGGCTAAGCGACGAATTAGTCCAGAGGAATGAAGGCCCTCACTTTGAAGCTGGCCTCATTTGGAGCGTCTTGGCTCCCTGGTTGGGGTCCGAAAGACGATGAACACGTTTGGCTAGATATACTTGCTGACACAGTTGGGAGCCGACCTCATTGGCTTTCGTGCTGTGAGTTTCTTTGTTCCTCCCCATCCCTTTTAGCCTGCAGCTCCAACCACGATCTCAATATTTAACACTTTATAATTTCCATGGGAACTCACCTTTTTTGCTTCATAGTACCCGGCAGTTGGCTTATCGGAACGATGCCCATCCTGCATCGGGAGCTTAGCTGGCTCTCACATGTAGCATTTTATTCCCTTCTTATATTTTATGTATTGCGACACAGTAGCCGAGGTGTTTCCCACCACTAGCTAACGTGTATAGTGTGTGCATAGTGTGTATCGCGTGACGCCGCAAAACCAGCTTATTGAAAGGAATACTGGCATTCCCTGGACGCAAACTCAAACGTCATTACTGTGAACCGGGTATTGACACCACACTACTCAAACATCTGTTGTCGAAAGAAGGCGCATCTCCTTGGCCCGAGACGGCCAGGAGTCGCAGCCATACGACAGCCCCAATCTAGAAGCGACACTGAAAATCAGCACTCTATCCAGGTCGATACGTCTCGAGGACGCAACAAGTGCCTCAAATCGACAAGTACTTATCGAAATCTAGCGATGCAGAAAGAAACTTCATTGTTGTTAGTGTTGTCGGCAGAACTACAGCCCAATATTAGACAAAAGCACATGTCTAGTCCGGTTGTGTACCTTCCGTAGTGGGCTCAAGAGCGGATGTGGGCCAATACGGGGACAACACTTTACACCTCGATTGGTGAAACCCACGAATTATTTAGATGTTTCGACTGCCAAATGATTCAGAACAACATGTATACCCTGTGGACCGTCATAAAGCAGACGATATCATAAGTATGAAATGAATTCGTGGCGAGTTCACTCGATAAACGCTCTAGACCAAAAGATTGGAAAGGTTATAGAGCTCTCGACATAACATCTTAATTCTCGAAACTGAAGAGGAACGGGAACATGTGGCGGCCCTGTCGCAGTCAGCTTTTGACAGCGAAGGGCGGGGAATGCATGCTGTGGACACTCACTGCCAGAGATTTGAAGCTAAATGGCGCATAATATGGCTGTACAACTACCTGGCACACCAATTTTATTAAACAAATATCTGAAGCCGGTCGATCAACAAAATTAAATGCAGCCCGTGTGTACAAGAATGCGACGATAGAGCCCTGTGTTAAATGCGGCGATGTTCGAGGAGTTGCCGATGGGTGTAGCTTTGCTCCAGTAATACACGGACGGGCCTCAAAGCAGATTATTATTCACGATAGCATGATTCAAGTATTAGGAAATGTCTGCGAGCAGAATGGCTGCGAATGGCATCGAGGTAAAATGATGAAACGAATCCCTCGATTATTGGCAAATGTGCAAGCACCTTTCTTGAAAAGTATGATAAGTACTGGTCTACCAGAAGAGCGAGGCACCTTTATTTTATGCCATACTACAGGAAACAACGATTCCACATTTTCAATTATTGCCATGATGCTGTACCTGAGAAGCCCCAAAGGAAGTGCTTCTGATCCGGCAGCCTTGAATCGCTTCAGTCGTCTAATCTCCTGGTCGAGTTCTGCTTCGCTGGGTGGATCCAGTGGGACCATCCATTTGAGGCAACAAGGTGTACTGCTTGAACTGATTGACGATGGAGTCCAGTAGAACTGCGGATGAAACTGCTCGGTCCAGCGATCCCAGCGCCTCTGTTGCTTAGTGAACGAAAACCCATCCACCTCACAAATCATCTTAATGACACCAGGCTTCCTGAGGCCAGTGGCTAGGAGCTACTTTCGCCAACGTTCTCGCTAAGTTTGAACATGGTTCTATTCAAGCGGTTATGGATTTACTGGATTTCTACTGAAGGTACATGAAAAGCTCTTTTGTTATCTGTGGTCTGAGCGTTGATGTCGCCGGTTTACTCGGTCAACACGACGATGCATACACATCACAAATGTTAGGCAAAAAGATCGAAAGAGTAGCAAATCCAAGTTTCTTGGACGTTACAAGGAGTGTTTTTCGGAATGCTACGTGGATTAGACGACACAGGCACCTTAGAAGTTCCGTTCTTTTGGTGGATATATTTATCACGGTTCCCTGCTGGTACCACCGAGACTCACACTTTTCCCCTTCACCAAGAACGACAATAAATCATATGGTCTTAGATGCTTGGTAATTGATCACCACCATAACTAAGCATGAAGAAGCACGTACCGAGGCGTGACGTTCTATAAATCTAGTTGAGGCCACTTAAAGGGAGCACGCATTTAGATAAATCTGTTCAATCACCAGTGTGCCATAATCGCGATCCACGCCGGATGTTCTTGGGGCCTCTATCCAACAACCGGCTACGGGAATTCCATGAATACAGCTCTGCCAGTCGTCCACGAGCTCGGTTCCGTGTCTCTGTTCGCTCCTCAATGTCACACTGCACTCCTATGTTGGAAGGCAATTCATGCCTCTCACCAACTCCTCTCCACCATTCTTGTCTTGGATACGTCTGCACAGAGGCTTGGGAGCTTAGCAAAGCGAGTCGACGAATATTCAAGCTGATGCTCACTGTATACATCAGGAGAGCCAATGCAATACGAAATCCACCTGACGCTTGCCTCATTCCAATCCATCGAGTTATCTGCTGGTAACAATCCTGAGTGGAGGAACTCGCATCCATCTCTGTTAACTGGATCGTCTCTGGCTTGCCGTGGCATTCCCGAACAAGTGTTGGGGCACCGAATTCATTGACAATTACGCTAATTGAGCACCCGGTTTCATTAAACATTGATTGACACTTGAATGTTTCATAAAATGCTTTGCGAAAACCGTCGACTTCAGTACCTCGTCCACCTTCACCGGTTGGAATTAAACGCTCCAGTCTCAGTAAAGTAAATGGCACCGCTCTACGCAATACATGTAAAGTGATAAGGTGAAAATGATAAGGAACGCAGACGACCAGGAGTATACAGCTAAACATCACGACCAGATGAACTGAGCGCTTGTAACTCGCCGTTTGTCGACGACAATCCACAGTTAAATTGAGGTGAATTTCCGTCGCTTCATTGGCATGATGGTCTCCAAGGCAACTGGTGGTTATCTTCCCATCTCTGCTACTGCCGTGATGCTTTTCCTGCGCATCTTCGCTCACCCATTCACATGTTGCCTGCTCGATTCCTACGTAAACATCCACTTCACTTTCCTCTGCTTGTGTCCTATAGAATGCATCAAAGCTTTGTACAGGGGAGAGCAAAAACGTCTCCATTCTCTTTTCATCCGGTAATCCCGCATCACGCTTCCTTGTCCATACGGTTTCAAATATGCTAGCATCGCGTTGAAACCGCTGAAGTTCTCTTCGCAGCTTTTGATGGTAACTACTGATGGAGTTTGTTATCCGCTCTACCTGCAACTGCTTCATGAACGAGTGTAGATTTGATTCCGCCATTAACCGTTCTAGACACAATGTCTCCTCCGTAGCGTTTGTCTGATCGCACAACACATCCACATGTTCCTCTTTCACCCGCTGGGGCATTTTATACACAATGAATGCAAGCAAACACAGGCATGACGTTATTCCGACCGTCTCGCCGACTATTACACATAGACCGGAGTAGTGTACGCCGAGTAAGCTGTAGAGTCTGCCGTCCGTACCGATTCGCTTTAAAATGAGACGTAGCTGATCCGCAGTTATGGCATCGGTTAAGCAAAATATGCCAATGCATATGTTGATGAAACTGAACAAGACCGCACCGACCACTGACAGTTCCATGATCCACGCAATGGCGTGACTGAAATCATTCAAACGCACACGAATCGATGCGATGGACCTGTGCACTTTCGGTGAATTTGTGATTAATATGTGTTTCTCCCAGTTACTTACACGTCAGGTAATTTCCGTAGATCTAGACACGCACTAGATAGCCACTTCTTCCTTGTGGATCCAATGAATCTGATGTGTCACGATAGGAATAATTGATTCGTAGATTATACCCATGGAAATACAAGAACACAACCTTACGAAGAGTACTCTTTTCGATAAATCTCCTCAGGCATTTACAATTATAAAATGGAAAAGCACAAAGCAAACGGCTGATGAAGCCAAAGTGGTGGGAATAGTGGAATCGCGACAAACAGAAACTCAAAAGTATTGATCAATAAAATCCGTTAACTACACATGTGACAAAGCACGTGTTAGTTGATCGGTGGGATGCCAAGTGCATCATCCGACCACTGTAGACGCCTGGAGTGACAAAAATTAGCGAGCTGACTAGGGCCAGGGTAGAAGAAGCCCTTGCAGCAAGGCCTTCTGTTTACATAATTCCGGTTGCAATATTCTAATCGCAATCGCTTCGGCCGTCCGTAAGATTTGCTTTTTAAGCCCATTAGTGTACCGTGGTTTTACTACATAAAGTAATTGGAAGGCATCAGCGGTCCTAATTCGGTGTCCGCTTTCCACCAGATGTTCCAGGATGGAACTGTTGGGGCGACTGACGATGCCTTTCCTCAAAGTCGCTGGGCAGTGCTCCACAATGCGTTTAGACAGACGCCTGGTTGTGTGTCCCACGTACCTCGCACCACAGGCGCAGGTAAACTGATATAAAATGTAAGATTGGGACTGAACCGGAAGTCTATCTTTAATGCGTTGGGTTATAAAGGGGGCCGTTTCCGCAAAGACGTATGGGCATGCGGCTGGGAAGGTTCTAGCCACTGCAGTGGAAATCCTTCTGGTCAACTGATCAAAGGCAACATTGCCTTTATAACCCCCTTTATAACCCAACGCATTAAAGATAGACTTCCGGTTCAGTCCCAATCTTACATTTTATATCAGTTTACCTGCGCCTGTGGTGCGAGGTACGTGGGACACACAACCAGGCGTCTGTCTAAACGCATTGTGGAGCACTGCCCAGCGACTTTGAGGAAAGGCATCGTCAGTCGCCCCAACAGTTCCATCCTGGAACATCTGGTGGAAAGCGGACACCGAATTAGGACCGCTGATGCCTTCCAATTACTTTATGTAGTAAAACCACGGTACACTAATGGGCTTAAAAAGCAAATCTTACGGACGGCCGAAGCGATTGCGATTAGAATATTGCAACCGGAATTATGTAAGCAGAAGGCCTTGCTGCAAGGGCTTCTTCTACCCTGGCCCTAGTCAGCTCGCTAATTTTTGTCACTCCAGGCGTCTACAGTGGTCGGATGATGCACTTGGCATCCCACCGATCAACTAACACGTGCTTTGTCACATGTGTAGTTAACGGATTTTATTGATCAATACTTTTGAGTTTCTGTTTGTCGTGATTCCACTATTCCCACCACTTTGGCTTCATCAGCCGTTTGCTTTGTGCTTTTCCATTTTATAATTGTAAATGCCTGAGGAGATTTATCGAAAAGAGTACTCTTCGCAACGTTGTGTTCTTGTATTTCCATGGGTATAATCTACGAATCAATTATTCCTATCGTGACACATCAGATTCATTGGATCCACAAGGAAGAAGTGGCTATCTAGTGCGTGTCTAGATCTACGGAAAGTTACCTGACGTGTAAGTAACTGGGAGAAACACATATTAATCACAAACTCACCGAAAGTGCACAGGTCCATCGCATCGATTCGTGTGCGTTTGAATGATTTCAGTCACGCCATTGCGTGGATCATGGAACTGTCAGTGGTCGGTGCGGTCTTGTTCAGTTTCATCAACATATGCGTTGGCATATTTTGCTTAACCGATGCCATAACTGCGGATCAGCTACGTCTCATTTGAAAGCGAATCGGTACGGACGGCAGACTCTACAGCTTACTCGGCGTACACTACTCCGGTCTATGTGTAATAGTCGGCGAGACGGTTGGAATAACGTCATGCCTGTGTTTGCTTGCATTCATTGTGTATAAAATGCCCCAGCGGGAGAAAGAGGAACATGTGGATGTGTTGTGCGATCAGACAAACGCTACGGAGGAGACATTGTGTCTAGAACGCTTAATGGCGGAATCAAATCTACACTCGTTCATGAAGCAGTTGCAGGTAGAGCGGATAACAAACTCCATCAGTAGTTACCATCAAAAGCTACGAAGAGAACTTCAGCGGTTTCAACGCGATGCTAGCATATTTGAAACCGTATGGACAAGGAAGCGTGATGCGGGATTACCGGATGAAAAGAGAATGGAGACGTTTTTGCTCTCCCCTGTACAAAGCTTTGATGCATTCGATAGGACTGAAGCGGACGAAAGTGAAGTGGATGCTTACGTAGGTATCGAGCAGGCAACATGTGAATGGGTGAGCGAAGATGGAAAAGTAAAACACCATGGCAGTAGCAGAGATGGGAAGATAACCACCAGTTGCCTTGGAGACCATCATGCCAATGAAGCGACGGAAATTCACTTCAATTTCGCCGTGGATTGTCGTAGACAAACGGCGAGTTACAAGCGCTCAGTTCATCTGGTCGTGATGTTAAGCTGTATACTCCTGGTCGTCTGCGTTCCTTTTCATTTTTACCTTATCACTTTACATGTATTGCGTAGAACGGTGCCATTTACTTTACTGAGACTGGAGCGTTTAATTCCAATCGGTGAAGGTGGACGAGGTACTGAAGTCGACGGTTTTCGCAAAGCATTTTATGAAACATTCAAGTGTCAATCAATGTTTAATGAAACCGGGTGCTCAATTAGCGTAATTGTCAATGAATTCGGTGCCCCAACACTTGTTCGGGAATGCCACGGCAAGCCAGAGACGATCCAGTTAGCAGAGTTGGATGCGAGTTCCTCCACTCAGGATTGTTACCAGCAGATAACTCGATGGATTGGAATGAGGCAAGCGTCAGTTGGATTTCGAATTGCATTGGCGCTCCTGATGTATACAGTGAGCATCAGCTTGAATATTCGTCGACTCGCTTTGCTAAACTCCCAAGCCTCTGTGCAGACGTATCCAAGACAAGAATGGTGGAGAGGAGTTGGTGAGAGGCATGAATTGCCTTCCAACATAGGAGTGCAGTGTGACATTGAGGAGCGAACAGAGACACGGAACCGAGCTCGTGGACGACTGGCAGAGATGTATTCATGGAATTCCCGTAGCCGGTTGTTGGATAGAGGCCCCAAGAACATCCGGCGTGGATCGCGATTATGGCACACTGGTGATTGAACAGATTTATCTAAATGCGTGTTCCCTTTAAGTGGCCTCAACTAGATTTATAGAACGTCATGCCTCGGTACGTGCTTCTTCATGCTTAGTTATGGTGGTGATCAATTACCAAGCATCTAAGACCATATGATTTATTGTCGTTCTTGGTGAAGGGGAAAATTGTGAGTCTCGGTGGTACCAGCAGGGAACCGTGATAAATATATCCACCAAAAGAACGGAACTTCTAAGGTGCCTTCCGAAAAACACTCCTTGTAACATCCAAGAAACTTGGATTTGCTACTCTCTCGATCTTTTTGCCTAACATTTGTGATGTGCATGCATCGTCGTGTTGATCGAGTAAACCGGCGACATCAACGCTCAGACCACAGATAACAAAAGAGCTTTTCATGTACCTTCAGTAGAAATCCAGTAAATCCATAACCGCTTGAATAGAACCATGTTCAAACTTAGCGAGAACGTTGGCGAAAGTAGCTCCTAGCCATTGGCCTCAGGAAGCCTGGTGTAATTAAGATGATTTGTGAGGTGGATGGGTTTTCGTTCACTAAGCAACAGAGGAGCTGGGATCGCTGGTTCGAGCAGTTTCATCCGAAATTCTACTGGACTCCATCGTCAATCAGTTCAAGCAGTACACCTTGTTGCCTCAAATGGATGGTCCCACTGGATCCACCCAGCGAAGCAGAACTCGACCAGGAGGTTAGACGACTGAAGCGATTCAAGGCTGCCGGATCAGAAGCACTTCCTTTGGGGCTTCTCAGGTACAGCATCATGGCAATAATTGAAAATGTGGAATCGTTGTTTCCTGTAGTCTGGCATAAAATAAAGGTGCCTCGCTCTTCTGGTAGACCAGTACTTACCATACTTTTCAAGAAAGGTGCTTGCACATTTGCCAATAATCGAGGGATTCGTTTCATCATTTTACCTCGATGCCATTCGCAACCATTCTGCTCGCAGACATTTCCTAATACTTGAGTCATGCTATCGTGAATAATAATCTGCTTTGAGGCCCGTCCGTGTATTACTGGAGCAAAGCTACACCCATCGGCAACTCCTCGAACATCGCCGCATTTAACACAGGGCTCTATCGTCGCATTCTTGTACACACGGACTGCATTTAATTTTGTTGCTCGACCGGCTTCAGATATTTGTTTAATAAAATTGGTTTGCCAGGTAGTTGTACAGCCATATTATGCGCCATTTAGCTTCAAATTTCTGGCAGTGAGTGTCCACAGCATGCATTCCTCGCCCTTCGCTGTCAAAAGCTGACTGCGACAGGGCCGCCACATGTTCCCGTTCCTCTTCAGTTTCGAGAATTAAGATGTTATGTCCAGAGCTCTATAACCTTTCCAATCTTTTGGTCTAGAGCGTTTATCGAGTGAACTCGCCACGAATTCATTTCATACTTATGATATCGTCTGCTTTATGACGGTCCACAGGGTATACATGTTGTTCTGAATCATTTGGCAGTCGAAACATCTAAATAATTCGTGGGTTTCACCAATCGAGGTGTAAAGTGTTGTCCCCGTATTGGCCCACATCCGCTCTTGAGCTCACTACGGAAGGTACACAACCGGACTAGGCATGTGCTTTTGTCTAATATTGGGCTGTAGTTCTGCCGACAACATTAACAACAATGAAGTTTCGTTCTGTATCGGTAGATTTCGATCAGTACTTGTCGATTTGAGGCACTTGTTGCGTCCTCGAGACGTATCGACCTGGATAGAGTGCTGATTTTCAGTGTCGCTTCTAGATTGGGGCTGTCGTATGGCTGCGACTCCTGGCCGTCTCGGGCCAAGTAGATGCGCCTTCTTTCGACAACAGATGTTTGAGTAGTGTGGTGTCAATACCCGGTTCACAGTAATGACGTTTGAGTTTGCGTCCAGGGAATGCCAGTATTCCTTTCAATAAACTGGTTTTGCGGCGTCACGCGCTACACACTATGCACACACTATACACGTTAGCTAGTGGTGGGACACACCTCGGCTACTGTGTCGCAAT